GCGATTCCTCGGTAGAGGCATCACATCACATCACCATCATTCACAGGATCCGCGCTGACTTGAAGTGCCTTTGTAGATCGTAACCCCTCATCCGTTTAAATGGCCTCGCGTGCTCATTCTTCCTTGCTTTAAGTGTACAGAGCATCGTTCGTTCGTTGGCTCTGCGGCGCTGTGAGTATTACATTACATAGCTGACGGCGAGTCTTGATCCTGATTCCGGATTATATGTTTTGCAGGCAGCGCAAGTCCTCGAGCTCAAATCAAGTCCTCATGATCAAAGTAAGTCCTATCATCTCTGCTTACCAGCGGAGCGTTTCACTTCCGCACTCGCGGTGCGTCCTCCTCCGAGGTTCTGGTTCTGCAAGACTTCCGCTCTTCCAACTCACCTCGTGGCATGCATTCGGAATCACTTCATTCTCATTATCAATATTTATGCAGGCGGTCGGTGCCGTGTGCACCCTCAAATGCAGGCTTCAAGGCAAGTCCTTTCGTCTAGATCGCGTCATTTATGTACTCGCTACCAAGGCGCGTTCCCCTCCGAGGTTCCGCAAGACTGGGGCTGACTCAGTGTTCTACGTAGTTTCCAGCTCCGTTCGTTCATTCGTTCTAGATCTCTCTACAGCGCACTGAGGATTCGCTGACAGCGAGTCTTGAGCCTGATCTGATGTTCCCAGTCAGTGCCATGTTGAACCTCAAATCATGTCCTCAAGTCAAGTCCTATCGTCTCTGTTTCGAGTCACCAGCGAAGAACTTCATTTCCTCGCTGGCGTTGCATTCTCCGAGGTTCCGAAAGACATCCGCTGTCTCAGTCCCGCAGCTCAGCTCGTGAGATCACAGTCCGAACTGCTTGACTCAACCTGATTATATGTATTTACGCAGGTCCGCGGTAAGGGTCGTGTTCAACCTCGAATGCAGTCTTCAAGGTGAGTCCTTTCGTCTGGATCGCAACTGAATCGCCTCATATATGTACTCGCTAGCAAGACGTGTTTTACTCCGCGGGTCTGCGAGACATTGCCACCACTGCTCACCTCGTGGCATCGCAGCTCGAGATTTCGAATCACCAGATTCGATTTCCTAGTAATCTCTTTCTATTTATATTAGGGCGTATCACAGTTGGCTGATTTCGGATTTCGATTCTGATTTGGAGCCGATTTCACGCCCAGGAATTGAAATCCAAAACAAAATCAGCTCGAAATCAGCTCGAAATCAGTTCGAAATCAGCTACTGTGATACACCCTTTTAGAAATGTTTGATTTACCTAGCTCACGAGTCCCTTGTCGCCGTAGCGCGACACATAAAACATCTTTCGAACTGTGTTCTTACACACGTCATTTCATTGTTTTGCCGCGATACCTTGGGTGGGATTGGGACATGTAAGGGAAATGTCGGGGCGTACGGAACAAGATATGTACCAGAAATTGAGGGTAAAAGAAACCGTACTAAGTATGAGCCGTCAAGTTTCAAGTTTCGTCCCTTTCAGGTTTTGAATGGTCGGTGCCACTTTCTACAGCCGTACCAGTCAGCGGCAGGAAAACGACTTGAGTCGGCCCCGACTAGAATCGTGAACGAACATCGAAAGAAAGTGAATCTGCAAGACGAGTCGTTAGCACTGCGACAAGGAAAGAACTCGCCGTCGCCCACGTTAGACAAAGTTTGTATCCGTGGTGCCAATGTGGATGTGCATCCCACCCTCCACAAGCTGACGCAGAGCCGCAATAATTTCAGCGTCAGGTTTGTCCTCCGGGCTGCACTTCGACCAGAGCAGTCGGAAGGATTGGAGCTGCGAGGGCCCCGCCACGCGTCGGGCGGAGAGCACGCTGACCAAATGCTCATATTCAGCGTGATCAGGGCTGAATTCACGGATCGTCAGAGTCCGGAGGTTCGGAAGTAGATTGTGGGACGTTGCTAGCACCGTCAAGAACTCAAAATCCTCTTCCGTTCCCAGCAGCTCGAGATCCGCCAGGCCGGGGACAAGAGTGAATATGGTTGTTAAACTTTGAGTTGACCAGTACTCGATATATAACAACTGCAATGGCGGGGCTGATCGGGTTAGGAAGGAGATGATGATGTCTTGCGAGACGGCGAAGCCGGGTATGTAGAGGGTTTGCAGCACAGGCAGCGTGAGGTATGGCAAAATGAATGCGCTGCGGTCTTCGTCGTCCTCTCTACCAAGACGTAGGTGTCGCAGGGAAGTATGAGTGAATGCTCGTAGATCGGTTGGAGGAATGTGGCTGTAATACACTCCGTCAAAATTGCATTCCACGAGGTTTGGCGCGGCGCGGATTAGCTCGGCACATCCACTGGGATTGTACATGAAATGGATCGGGTGACCGGGCCCACGGTGGGCATGGGCAATGGTCAAGCTTGTTAAGCTCGGAAACGAGGTGTTTATGTGCACCAGCGGTGTCTCGGACGCAAAGTACAGTTGTAAAGTCTGCATCCGGGGTGCGTGCTGGTTCACCACGGCCGCAACGGCCCGCGGTAACGGTCCACGGAGGGCGAGGGAGGTGGCACGAGTACCTGCGCGTTTGAGCCAAGCGTCAAACAGGTGCTCGAACCCTTGTGCCCGTGGAAACTCGATCTGAATGCTGGTCCACAGCGTGGAGGTGGAGAGAGCGATCTTGGACCATGAATGAGACACTTTCAGAAGAACCATGGGTGCCGTGAGACGATCAGCTCGCGGGATGTCGGGGAGGCATCGTGTGAAAATATCGGACGAGATTTCGAGTGGCAGCCGTGCCATCGGGTCCAGGATGGCGTTGAGATCGCGTTGAACGGCCGTCCTAGTCTTTTCGAGGTCGTGGATGATTTCCTGATGGTGGGCTATAGCGAAGGAAATGTCTTCAAGGCGAGTACGGAGGGCAGCCGCGTCCGACATGGTGGTTAGTGATGGCCGGGTCGGGTCGGGTCTGGAAAGCCCGGGCTTGGGTCGGGTCTGGAAAGCCCGGGCTTGGGTCGGGTCTTGGCGGGCTTGGGCTTCGAGAAATCCTAAGCCCGACCCGACTTAGGGGGTCGGGCCCAGGTCGGGTCGGGCTTGGGCTCAGGCCCGGGCTCGGGGGTAGAAAAATGGTCCAAATTCTATATTTATTTAAAATATAATAAGTATGTCATCGTCATCCTCTCTTTCGTCCGGCTCGTCGTCATCTAGCAACCTGTCCCACACACCCAATTTATTGGGGTCTTCATCGTCACCGTCGCTGTCCGCCCCATCAGCGAATGCGTGCCAAGGTATTGAACATGGCGGGATATGCCGGTGTGGCAGTGTCGCTCGAAACGGACATACATATTTATGCATCGTTTATTTCTTGGTCCAATTTCGAGGGGGAAGAACCAGTTTATGTGACTATCGTACATCATTTCTTCCCCAAACCTGACGATTCACACCTCACAATGGTTGAAAGCAGAGATGCGGAAGAAGCCGGGAATCCGATCAAATTTGATAGCGCAATGGTACGGCTATTCGGCTGGGATACTTAGGCCCAGACTCTCATGGCATGGATGACAGGGTTCCCAAACTGGGATGTCATGAGAAGATGGTCCGAGACTAGTACCGCACCTTACTTCGAAAATTGAATTCTCAAATCTCAGCCAGGCTCGAGCAAAAAGAAATAGAGTGAAGCCCGGGCCTAAGCCCGGGTCGCGGGCCTACCAAAATCTCAAGCCCGACCCAAGCCTGGGCTTGGGCTTGAAGCCCGACCCGGCCATCACTAATGGTGGTTGCAAGTCAAGCGTAAAATAATAGGAACAAATACACTGCCACCAACCCAACCGTGCCGTTTCTCACCTGCAGTATGCAGTACGTTGTCTGGCTCGTTGAGCTCCGTCAAAATTGTGTGAACCTGGATTGATATTGTTTTGTCAATCTCGCCGCTTTTAACTTTGAGTGGGGTTGGTTTAACTGTTCCGCGGGGTGTCCTGCTCGAACTCGAAGCTCGGATGAACTCGGGGATTTTCTTCGGGGCATTTGAGGCAGTAGCCACTGATTTTCCCACCGACTATTCAACCGCACTGAAAGCTGGTTGAAAAGACAAGAGTCTGAAATGAGAGGAAACCTCCTCGTAGCATACATGGTCTGACCCCGGGATCTCCTGCTTACGACTTTACCTGGTTCGTATATTCAGAGGTGCACCAACCAATTATTCTATCGGATCTTTCTTAAGTTTGGTCTACTTTTGTCTAAGTGGGACAAAAATAAGATTTGAACCCGGGTTCAATTGCTTATGCTGGTTCAACCAAATAAATTGGCTTGCCTGCATCATTGACTGTCATTTCACATTTCATTTCAGCAAGTAAGAGAAGCTCTAGAATAATAAAATGAGCCCCGCAGGATGCGAGCCAGTCATCAAAAAAATGAAAGAAAAAGAGTCTCTTTTCTGTACATGACCCCGGATCGAACAAGGATCTCCTGTTTAGATAAAGCATGCTCCAATGGTGAACTTTGATAAGTGCATTAACATTTATGCTATCAGGTCATTCTTAACCTTTCCTACTGTGGTATAAGAGGTACATAAATTGAGGTGAAGCTGGGTTCAATTTTGAGCACAGATTCTGGAATCAGCAGAATAAAATCTGGCTTGCTCGGATCCTTAGGCCGCGATCATAAATCGTTCAAGCTGGAAAGGAAGAGTAGAGCGGCGAAATTATATAGAGTTCTTCAACGCTTGGCGAGGGGGGAACAGAAATCGAAAAAATCCCTCATAAAAGACCCATGAACTGACCCGAATCGGACGGGATTCCCTGCTTAATTTATCAAAAGCATATTTAAGTTGAGCGGGTGCACTAAGCAGTCATGCTATCAGATCTTTCTTATGCTTGCTTTACTGTGATCTGAGATGAACTTGAATAGCTCAACTGCTTGGGAGGGTTCAACCAAAAAATAAATTGGAGTTTCTAGTCTAAGCACGACGGTCATTTCATGAAGGAGGAGCGGCTGTGGGATAATAAAATGCTCCACAGGATGTTAGCCAGATGCGAGAAAAATGAGGAAGACTTCTAGTCCACGACCTGACCCCGGATCGAACGGGGATTTCCTGCGTCGACATTTGCATCGGGAACATTTCCAGCAGGTACACTACAAATTATGCTATCAGGTCCTCCTGTAGTGTCTTCCGCGCCGGTATAAGTGGGGAAAAAATTGAACCTTGAACCCGGGTTTTAATTTCAAATTTGCATCAGGTTCAACTACTTCTTGGAGATTCAAGCGAAGAAGTTGTGGCTTACCTGGATCATTGACTGTCATTTCACTCGAGTGAGAGCAGGAAAATGGGCACCGTCGAAGTGCGGTGGGACGGTGCACAGCCAGTTGAAAGACAGGACAAAAATTGAGGAAAATGACATATCAGTTGAATCAAACAACCTGACCCCGGATCGAACGGGGATCTGCTGCCTGAAACGTTCGTCTTGTATAAAATACATGCTGAGCAGGTGCACTAACCAGTTATGCTATCAGATCTTCCTTAAGCCTGGTCTGCTGTGGTATATAATTGGCACAAAGAGGGCTTGAACAGTCGAGGTTCAACCAAAATAAAATAATAGCTTGCTTGGATAATCCTTTACCGTCAATTTATCTGAGTAAGGAAGAGCGGCTTTGAGTCGGCGAATGAGCTCCGCAGGCTGCTATATAGCCAGTGCCCAAAATTGAAAGAAAAGTACTCGACATCTTTGAAATGACCTGACCCCGAATCGAATGGGGATCTCCTGCTAAAGCTGGGATAGGGAGAGTTTAAGCTGAGCATGCGCACTATCCAGTTGTGCTATCAGGTCTTTCTTATATATGGTACATGGTGGTATAGGTAGATTTGAGATGGTAACCCTGGTGAGGCGAGCGTTGGATATTGATACATGGATCTCCACGAGTTCATTCTGCGGTAGGAACATGAGTTCATCCTGCGGTAAGGACACGGGTGGATATCATGTCGAGGGGCAGAGGCGCGTCTAAGCGAGAGGTAGGAACGCAGCGTATGTGGTGGGAAGACGGGTCGGAGTCGGAGGACTGTGGGAAGAGGCCGCGGCGGCGACGTTGGGTGGCAACACGAGGACTCGATGGTGACCTCGAGGACGATCAGGGTGTGTACGAGAACCAAAGCGAGCAAGAGCGTTCCGTGCAGCAAGGACCTGCGGATCCCAGAACATCGCGACCGCAAGGTTGCGGACATACATAGACACTCTTCGCTTGATCCGTTCGATATCGATCCGCAGATGCAGGAGAGTTGGCAGTGCTGGGCATCCCAGATGCGCGTGAGATGCACGTCAGAATCGCTGAGGTTGATGCAAAGTCGTTTCACGGCAAAAACTACGTCGGCTAACAAGCGCCGGCTGTGCACCTGGCAGAAATAGAAATATTTAATTCGTCTCCGTGTGTGTGTCTCTGCATGTCTCTCCCGCCGGTTCCTCCCCGCTCATACTCTGCGACGCCGACGCCGCACCTCATCTTTGAATCCCCGCCGCATTTCGACAACCCGCTGGCTGCGCCACGGCCACACCGTGTGGATCCGAGCCTGGGCGCGAACGTGAGTAGTAGTCGATTTACGTAGAAAAGGTCGATGGCGTGGCTCATGCGCGACTGCCCGCTGCTGCTGTGGGGCTGCTGCTGTGGGGCTAGGATGATACTGACTCTACACTTCAGATTAGACCGGTAACCGATCTGTCTACGAGAAAGGCAAGCTTGTCGGTAGACAGACTGGTCGATCTGAGTTTAAATTTAGATGACGAGCGAGACGTCATCGTGTAAACCACGTGAAGTGCCCATCAACCTGCCCTGAACCCAACCAAACAAGCCTAACCACAGTTCAAAATAATCCACTCTCGGCTCCAAATGCATAATAAAAGCTGGATAATTCGCTAGGACCTCTAATATACATATAGACCGTCTGGACCACTTCCCCCCAGCATTAGTACCTCATTTCGTCCATAGAGCATCTTTTTGTGTATGATATTAGAGGGAAGTCCAAAATAAAGACCCGAAGAAAGCGGAAACAGTGATAGAAAGGTATAATATCCCTTGCCAACATGTTTTAATGTTTAAGCCGGGCACAATACGACGAGGGGACGTGTTGGCAGTGGTGGGCGGAAACTGCCGAAGAGTTTAGGGTAGGTTGATGGGCACTTCACGTGATCTACACGATGACGTTCGCTCGTCATCCAAATTTAAACTCAGATCGACCGGTCTCTCTACGAACGATTTGTCTTCGTACGAGAGATCGGTTACCGGTCTACTTCAGATGGCCCGCGATCTCGACAACAGCTCAACATTTATACAACCTCGCCCGCCTTCGGCACTCCCGCCGCTGCAGGGCGCAGACTGGTCGCCGTGGGCCCCTGCCGCCGCCGCCGCCGCCGCCGCCCGCACGCCGTCGCCGATGCCGCCGCGCTCCCCACCGTCACCGCGCCCTCCCACGACCCCCAGCTGCAACTCGCCTGGGCCCGCGATGTCCTCTTCCTCGTCGACCGCACCGGCTCGCTCTCCACCTCCCCCTCGCCCTCGCCGCCGCCCCCCTCGTCCTGTCTCTGGCAAGCGCAGCCGTCCCCGAGGCCCTCCACCTCCGCGCAACCTTCGCAGCCTCCGGCGCCTACCCCAACTTACTGCCAGCAAACCCGCGCGCGGCCTTCCGTGACTTTGAGGCAGCCGCGCGCGCAGAGTACACCCCCGCGTGGTTCTGCCTTGCCCGCGACTATGAAGCATTCAACGACTCCGCGCACGCCCTGCACTACCTCGCCCGCGCCCCGCACCTCCTCGGCCAGCTCGCCACCCCTCACGTCGCTTTCATGCGCCCGTGAGCACCAACCCCGCGCTGGGCGACGAGAGCGCACAAGGCCTACTCCCTCCGAGCGCGAAGGGCGTTGTCCCTCCTGCATATCGCCGCGTAGCACCGGCTTTGGATGCCACTCCGCGCCGCGGCCACCACCCACCCTCGCCTACACAAGCTCGCTGTTCCTCCGCGTACCCAGCTCGCCGAGGCACAAGCCCCGCGCGACGCCCAGCACAGTATCACCCTTTCTCCTCCGCCACGCTCCTCGGCCTCCTCGTCCCGCGCGCTCGTCCTGCGCTCGTCCCTCGTTCTGCACCCGCCCCCCGTACTCGCGGTCCTGCTCGTCGTAATCCCCGTTCCTGCTCCGGCACCCTTCGCCGCCGGGCGCTGCGTCCCTGGCCCGCACGACTCCACCGGCGTGTGCAGTGTACGCTATTGGGTGCAAGACGCGGGGATTGCAGCGGGCGAGGGTGCGGTGCACGGCGGCGAGGAACCGCGGAGGGGGCGGGGGGTGAATACCGCGCTCGCTCGTTGCAGTGCACACGACGCGGCGAGGGTCCTGCTCGCAGGCGCTTGTCTTCTTGCGCAAGGTGGGCGGCACGGGATGGGTTGGGGATTGAGGCGAGCGCGAGAGGGAGAAGGGCGTATCGACGAGGGAAGGGACGGAGTAGACGCACGGCCGAGTGACGCTGGTGCATGCGCGTGCGTCGTTGGTGTACACACACGCGCCTTTATTGCGATCGCCGCCCCGCACGGCGCAATCCCCCCTGTCGCGCAGGCAATCTATGCGCTGATGGTGAGGTATCATCGGGCGCATTCTTTCCTGTTTACTCACTCATCCCCCGCGCAGCATACGCGACGCAAGGCCGCATGCGTTTCGGCAAGATATTTCATTATCTGGGACCCCGAGCGTAGCCGCCGCGCCTCGAGGACAACCCCAATACCAAAACTCCCGGTGTCCCGCGAGGACCTCAAGCCCGATACCAGTATCGATGCTGAAGCAAGACCCCGCCCCCCCTCGGTTTTCTCTGGACCCGTGCGCAATACCACCTCAAGCTCAAGCTACGCAATGCCCGTTTCAATGCCGATACAAGACGCGCTCCGTGTCTTCTCTGGATCCGCGCACGAGCCCCCGTCGAGTTACGCAATCCCAAGCACTCACAGCGACGCCTGTTCTCGCGCTCCTTCGTCAAGCTCCGTCCCGCCTTGCGCGCCGTATCAATATCCTCATGCGGCGCCCATCGAGTATAAGACCTCGCTCCAAGAACTCAAGCTCAACTCAAGATCCGCGCTTCTCCGTCTTCTTGCGCTCGGTTGGCGCGACTCCTCCTGACCTCTCTTCCGCTGCTGGATATTGTATGCCCACATACTGCGCGTGCTTTTGGTGGATTGTGCCCCGGCATCGATTAATTGTGCGTGCTCGCACATTGATTAACAACTTCTCGTCATCGCGCGCATGGACCGCCGCGTGTAATGTATTGTTTCACGGCGGGATTCAGCGCTGGGTTTGTATGTATCATCCCTTCGTAGAGGTGCAATAGAATTGATTAACTACCTCTCTGCTCGTCCTCTTGAGGTCGATTCTGCATCCGGGATAGAGTAAGTACGGGCCGCTGGCGTCGTCCCTCGCCAGTGATCTCTGCAGATCTGCTTACAGTATCAGTGCGCTTCGGTTAGGTTTCAGCATTTGCCAGACCGTTATAAGGAACGATTCAGGTACGTATTCAAGTCGAGGCTCGATGTTACTGGCTTGTATTTTCTTTTAGCTGCGAGATTAATTGGGAGTCTCGTTGAAGGTATGCATTGAAGCCGTTGGATCCGAGGGAGGATTCAGCCTCCAACCTCCCGATACTCACTATCACATCATCCCATCTCCAGAATTCATTTTGTTTATTCCCTCGAGGCGATGGGTCACCTCTCAAGCCGGCGTACTTTTATTTTAGTTCTCCTACGGTGCGATTCCTCGGGAGCGGCGGTACTGGAACTGGGGCAGCAAATCATTCACATTGACGGGATCAACGCTGCGTCTTTGTGGGTAAGCTCCGTCCATTTGAATCCCCTTAAAGTGGTCATTCTTGCTCCCGTGAACTGTGCAGATCATCGTTCGTTCGTTATCTCTGTATTTGAATGGAATGGTCAGTATTAACAGGTGACGGAGTCTTGATCCTGATTATGATGTTCCGCAGGCGGCGCCATGTCCAATTTCAACTTATCACGTCCTCAAATCAACTACAGCCGCTCGGCAGCGAAGCGCTTCAGTTGCTCGCAAGTGGCGCGTTCTCTGAGATTCCGCAAGACTTCCGCTGACTCGGTCTTCCAGCTCACCTCGTGAGATCGCAGTCCGAATCGTTCAACTTCACCCTGATTATTTGCGCAGGTCCACGCTCAGTGCCGTGTTCAATTTCAAATGCAGCCTTCAAGGCAAGTCCTTTCGTCTGGATCGCAGCTGGATCACCTCATCTATGTACTTGATAGCATCCCGCGGCACGGGTCTGCGAGACCTTGCCCCGACTGCTCCCCTCGTGGCATCACAGCTCGAGATTTTAAATGCCGGCTTCAAGGCAGGTCCGTTTCGCCTACATGTAGTCGCTCGCAAGGCATTTACTCCCAGGTCCCGCAGGACCGCAAGACTCAGTCTCGGGCTCCGATGAACAGATGCTCGTTTATGGACTCGAGCACAACACGCCGACGTAGTGTATCACTC